AGAGGGTGGGGGCACACGTCAGATGGACCAGGAGAACATTGTTGTTGTTAGGTACCATTGAGTCTGTTCCAATTCATAGCGACCCTATATACAACAGAACAAAACACTGCCCAGTCCTGTGCTATTCTCAAAATCATTGCTATGCTTGAGTCCATTATTGCAGCCACTGTGTCAATCCATCTCGTTGAGGGTCTTCTTCTCTTTTGCTGACCCTCTACTTTACCAAGCATGATGTCCTTCTCCAGGGACTGGTCCCTCCTGATAACATGGCCAAAGTACATGAGACAAAGTCTCACTATCCTTGCTTCTTAGGATCATTCTGGCTGTAATCCTTCCAAGACAGATTTGTTTGTTCTTCTGGCAGTCCACGGTATATTCAATATTCTTTGCCAACAAAGGCATCATTCTTCAGTCTTCCTTATTCATTGTCCAGTTTCACATGCATTTGAGGCCACTGAAAATACCATGGCTTGGGTCAGGCACACCTTAGTCCTCAAAGTGACATCTTTTCTTTTTAACACTTTAAAGAGGCCTTTTACAGCAAATTTACCCAATGCAATATGTCATCTGATTTCTTGATGCTGCTTCCATGGGCGTTGATTGTGGATCCAAGTAAAATGAAATCCTTGACGTCAGTCTGTTCTCCATTTATCATGGTGTTGCTTATTGGTCCAGTTGTGAGGATTTTTGTTTTCTTTATGTTGAGGTGTAATCCATACTGAAGGCTGTAAGTTTTTGATCTTCAAACATAATTGAGGGCCTGGAAGGTGAGGCTGAAGTCCAAGGCTGAGGGGCCTCCACAAAGAATCCAGACAGCATGGCCAACACCCAGAGTCTGGACGGTGGGGCCATTGCCCAGGTGGTCTCAGAGAACAGAGGATTATTTTCAAGCCTTGAGAGTTAATGTAATTTGTTCTACTGGGTTTTGGACTTGCTTGGTGCCCGTTATCCCTTCTTTCCTTCCAATTTTTCCCATTTGTAACGGAAATGGCAACCTTGTGCCTGTTCTACCATTGTCCTTTGGAAACAGATAACTTGTATTCTAGATTCCACAGGTTCACAGATAAAGAAGAGTTTTGCCCCGGGATGGACTACACCTAAAGTCTCACTGATACTTGAGTTAGATGACTTAGAAGAGATTCTGGGACCATGCAATGGGGTGAGTGTGTTTTGCATGTGAGGAGGACATGAATTTTGGAGGGCCGAGAGGTAGAATGAATTGTGTCATTCCCACTTCACAGATGAGGACATGGAGGCCAAGCAACTCTTCCAAAATCGAACCCAAGTCTGGTCTCAGCGCCCACCTGACCATGGTGTGCAGCGTGTGGTCTCAGAGACCACCTGACCATGGTGTGCAGCGTGTGGTCTCATTGCCCACCTGACCACGGTGTGCAGCGTGTGGCTGGAGCTCTGCGCCCAGCCCCAGGCTCCCTCCAGTCTTTCTCAAGGTTCCCTGCAGGGTTCACTACTTTTGGTTCACAACAAATTCACGCCTGCCACTGCCACCCAGCCCTAGAAGTGATCTGTGGTCTCGGCCACTGCATGTTACAGGCTTTTTCACCTAAGGCTCGTTCAGAAACTCCTCCACTGCCTCTCCTGCCTGGCGCTGGGCATGGCACTGCACAAGTACTATCTTTTTTTTTTGTTATTGTACTTCAGGTGAAGGCTTACAGAACAAATAGTTTCTCATGAAACAGAAGTACACATGTTATTT